TGTGTATCAAGCTACAGTACGGGCTGTTTTGTTGTATGGCTGTGAGACTTGGCCTATTCGAGCAGCGGACCTGAGACGTCTTCAGGTGTTCAACATTGGTTGTCTCAAAACCATAGCTCGTGTGGGTTGGTGTCGGCGAATCCATAACGAGGCAGTTAGAAAGCGCGTTTTTTCGGTTGTTAACGGGTACATGATGATGATGATGATGATGACAATTATGGAAGACTCAGTACCAGCCTCTAATGTCTGCGGAGTAAAAGTGCTCACAGATATTAAGTACGTAGACGACATAGCTTTTCTTGAGTCTGACGCTGTGATAATGCAAAGAATATTAAATAATCTAAATGACTCTGCCTCACGGTTTGGCATGCACTTCACACCTGCAAAGTGTGAAGTGCTACTGGAGAGACAAGGTGGGTTCGAACCATATCCTCACGCTTACGGATGAAGCGATTGAGTTGGTAGACAAATTTGTCTGCCTCGACAGTTGAATTAATCCCGGTGGTCTCGCGAAAGATGATATTTCCATCCGGATTGAAAAGGCCAGAGCAAATTTTGTGACCTCGAATCATCTGTGGCGTAGGCGTGACATCAGCTTATTCGTCAAGGGTCGAGTTTTCGATGCTGTGGTGCGCTCCGTATCAATATACGTATCAGAAACCTGGCCACCGCGCGTCGTGGACGTCTAAAGGCTTTGAGTGTTTGACCCTCCATATCTTCGGAGCGTTGCCCAAGTCTGGGGAGATCATCGGATCAGTAATGCTGAAGTACGTCGGAAGAAATAACTCACCCACGATAGATGAAGTGACCACATTCCACAGGTTGCCAGGTTCAATTAGGTTAACAGTACCTCAGAGCATATGGACGAAAAGCAGCCAATCCCTAAATACCAACAGTCGTATTACGAGGTCTGCTGTTGGATTCTGTATATGTTCTCCGCGGCATAAGTGTGGAGGCGGTAAACAGTTTCCTGCAATTGACCTACATTTCTATATTTATGAAAGTACTGATTTGACATTTGCATGAATGAGTGCTTAAGAAAGTAAGTCGAAGGAAATTTCGCTTTTTGACCCTAACTACTACCATGTGGACCGGAGTTTTGCATCACAATTCACTGCGCAGACAAAGGTGGTCGAATTGCCCAGTA